GGGTGCTGAGAATGCGCAAGCCCGCAACCAGTCGCTACCACGCAAAACCGGAAGTCCTATAGTCTGATTATATTTTAAACAACTCAGAGGAAACAAAATATTCTATACAATTTAGAGAGAAAATTTCCATCACAATCTTTTTATTTTCTCTGAAGCCTCACCCAACCCATACAACACGGAGATCGTTTATTAAAATGTCACACCTCAGTTTACAAATAAGAGAGTTTAGTGCTGTACAGAGGGCATTCAATGGAATGGAGCTTGGGATACATTAGAAATTGGGACATTAGAAAATAGTTGCCCCTAAAGCAACAGATCTGTCTACTTATATACAAATCTTTACAGTAGTTTTTTTTTTTGATGCAGATACACAATCCCAAAGCAGTTGAAAAAATAACTGAAGAAAAAAGAAACAGGAAAAGAAAGCAATCAATAAAACGAGTGGTGATATCAAAGTATTTACTATTCCGCATAGTTCAGGTATGACCATCTGATAGCCTCCTCTTTGCTCTACCTCAAAGTATTTATAATTCTTGAGCGACAGCTGTCAGATACTATTTCCCAATTTAAGACATTCACTTACTAATTCTACATGGGAACAAAAAGAATCTTCAAGGCAAGTAGCTGAATCACTTTTTGTGGACAGAAGCAAGTTGCCAGCCCTTCTAACGCTACCTTCTACTTGATCTGAGAATAAGACTGAATGATTCCCACAGTGTCTCTCTACTTCAATGTTATGAATGCTAAATGTGGGGCCCTCCTCGCAGGCTTATGTGATCATAGCTGCAGGTATCAAGAGAAACAAAGCTATATAGTCTACAGCAGCTCAGTTCAATACTGACTAGTATTAGCTGAGCCACTTGATCCTAATAACATTTATTTAGAAATAAAATCTCCCGATTTAAAAAAAACCCTTCATGAAGATAAAACTGCAGTGTTAATTTTAAGCTCATAGCTTAAGAGCTATGAATATTTAAAGAAGAGAATAACCACCATCAACAGAGAAAAACCACAGAAAATATCTAAACAAGTGGAGAGGAACAGGAGGAATACAAGATCAACCTCTGAATGGCTGGAAGTACCATCCAATATGACCTCCTGTGCAAAACGTCAATGTTTCTTGACCTTGTTGGCATCCATTACTCTCTGGCAACCAC